TGATTAAATTGTGAAAACTTCTGAATAGATATTTTACATTTGAATTGGATTGTTTTTGATTAAAGAATTCAACATGTTACGAGTTGGTTCTATCATTTGGCTCCAAACACTTAATGTGGCTTCATTGCTTTTAATATGTTATCAAGTTCATTCTTTAATTTTTTTTCTCGAAGAATAAAAAATTTATAAAATTTATAGCAAGCAATTTTTGTTTTAAACGATGAGGTGCCATTTGTTAATAAAAATACCATATATGAATAAAAGTTTTATCAAAAAAATTATTTATATCTCAATGAAAATAAGAAGTTGGAAGGCCAAAGCATCACAATTGTAAGTTTTTTCTTTGACCATATTCTTCTTTGTTTATTATTGTCATTCACTCAAAGATTAAGTTTGAGAAAAAAAATTTTATCTTGATGTTCGTAAAATGAATTACTTGACAAAACTTTGTACAAAGAATGGGCTTTTAATAAAACTTAAATAAGGAGATTGGTTAGATAATATATTCTTGCAATGAATTATTTCTACAAAGAATACATAACACAAAAAAATTTATTCAACTTTGATATAAAAGGTCCTATTTTTTTTCCCTCATACAACATTCAAGAAATTTTCTTGTAAATTACACTTGTCATGAATGCTAAAGGCCTAAATTTGAAATCATGAATAAGAAATTTAAGGCCATGCTTTGACCTAACTTTAAATAACATAATTAGAAGAATTATTTGAATGAATACCTTCTCATCAATGAGGATGAAAGAAATGTTACAGATGTAGTAAGGTGGGTTCTTTTGTTTCATATTCCATTTTCTTAAGACTTCACGACAATACACCATATTTCCATAGAGTCATTGATGTCTTTAACAAAGTTATACTTACTGAATTCCTTCTATGTCTCAAATGATTTAGGTACACAATTAGGTGAGGAAGAATTAAAAAGGAGGAATAGTTATGTTTTGAAGGAAATAATTCAGAGTATTAAAATTTAGGACCTTTTATAAATGGATGCAAGTAATAAGCAGTGTTATTTTGATTATTCAAGTGTTCAGAATAACAAAACAGAAAAGTAATTCCCACCGCATGATTAAATGCAATTAATTTGATAATTATGCATGAAATATTCTTTGTCAATCATGTAAAAACACCCAACTTTTGAGGAAACTAATCTTGAATGGATTCAATTTCTCAACAAGAACTACAATGAAAGACTTTTGCTTAGAAAATCAATTTTGGTAGTAGGAGTGGTTGGAAGGATTAAAAAATTTATATATACCAATTCAAAGGTAAAATATTAGAAAAATGATTTTGTAGGTTCTAATAAGATAATTAAAAATTTAAATATTTAGAATTTAATCTTTCTCAATATTTAAAGTGATGGGATTTAATTTTTATCATCAAGCTTTGAAACTAATATTTGGAAAATAATTTTGCAAGTTCTAATGAGATAATTGAGAATTTGAATATTTAAAATTTAATAATTTTTGAATATTCAAAGTGACTGTCATTTAATTTTTAATATCAAGTATTGAAATTGATATTTTACATATTTTACACACTTGACCATAAATGTTTATTAATTGATTAATGGGAGAAACGGGTGAATGAAATATGAAATAATTAACCTTAATATGTTAGTTATATGATTATCTTTGCAAGAAAAAGGACAAGTAATAACATAAACAAAGACAAATGTAGTTATAATAAGAATATTAGTTTTCAAGTTTCAATTTTCAGTAATTGAATATGATTGGGTGGTTTTTATATTCATATTTTAATAGAGGATTTTAAATTTAAAATGAAACATTTTAAAGTTTTTACAATAAAGGCATTAAAACTAATATTTACCATACTTTACCATTTCTCATCAAACGATTATGTGATAAGAAAGCAACATAAAATAAGAATTTTAAGGACCGTGATTTTTCAATTTGTGCATGTTGAGCAAGAAAAAACTATAAAACCAAAAAAATCATACATTTTATTTTACAATTAGGTTCTTATGCTCTAGTCATTTTATGTTGAACTCCGACACTTCCTTTACAACTCTAACATGTGAAGATTGCAAAAGTTCACAAACCTCTTGTAATTTATACATCAAATTGACTTTATCTTCATTTGATGTAGCAGAATCAATCAATTGTGTCCTCCAGCAAGATTCCATAGCTCTTCGACTTGATTCCATTATTTTTTAAACTGGTCAAACAAAGCTCGTCCAATGATCACAAAACCTACCAAATAGTTTTTAGATTAAAACATGTGTGGAAAAGAGAATTTTGATGGATAAAGAAGCTTCTAAAATAAAACATATGTGTAGACAAGGTAAATGCAAATAATATCGTCTCGAACATCTCCTTGAAAATTTTTAAGGGGAGTAAATTAAAAAAAAATATAAAAAATTAAAGGCGTGATTGTTGACAGGGATGAATGTGGGGGCCAAGGGGGTGCTCCCCCCCCCCCCCCAATTTGATCGGGTAAACAAAATTAGAATTTTTTTTATTTTACTTGTAAGAGAAGTGAAAATTAGTGTTAGGGCCCCATATTTTAAACATGTTTCATCTTTGGCCCCCCATATGTTCTTTTCTGGATTCTTGCCTAATTGTTGGAAGGGGGTTATTGGAAGAAACATATGGAATAGGGCACAGCGCTGATAAAGCTATAGAGATTATTGAAATAAATGCTTCCATTTAAATTGAGAATTGATAGGAGGATTGATGAAAATGGAGAAGGTGGAAGAAATGGCACAAGAATAAGTTGAGTGAAGTAATTGCATAAGAGAATTAAATTAAGGTCAAAGTAAATTGATCAATAGGATTGAATAAGAGCTAATCCCATGCGTTGCACAAATTTGATTTAAGAAAATTATAAAAAGAATAATATAAATTACAAATTTTCAAAATTTCAATTTAAATAATACTATTGTTTTGCTAGAAAAAAATAATGTGCGTGTGTGTGTGTGTGTGTCAATTTTAAAGTTAAAAAATGATGAACATGATTTCTTTTTTCCAGGCTAAACACATTTGGTTAATAAATAATATATATTTTGTATTGTCTAACTTTTATGTATAAATTTTTTAAAATAAAATGGAAATAAAAGGAACCTTTCTAGCCCTTTGATTTGAAATAAATTTTAGTGCCCCGTGAATACAAGATTCCAACTCCTCTTTAGGTACAAACTCTATTACCTAACAAAATGACATAAATTCTTACAAAAGACCATTTCTTAAATTGCATTTGACTAAATGGCAACATTTTTAAAGTGTATATTTCAACATATTTAATAATAGGAACCCTAACGGAGAAAGGATGAAGACAAAAGAGGATCACCTTGGGACATCATAGAAGAAATCGTCGAGAGAGCATCGATAGAAGGCAAACCTTTTGGGTTATAATCAAAGAATTATTATTAATAAAAGCTAATTTAGAATTGAAAAAAATGTGTGGATCCCCGGATTAAAAATAGAACATACTTCCAAGCATGAGTAATCACAAGTAACCTTGAGAAATCAAATTTTTGGATGCCATATATGGGAAACAATTGCTTGGAATTAAATCGCAATATAGGAGCAATTGAAAGTGGTGGTTTTGCATCACCTTTCCCAATCCATATCCCATACTCGAATCCTCAGCTCCACCAGCCCTTGATTACAGAAGATGAGGGAGAAACTCATCAAAAAAATGAGAACAAATATTTTTGATTGGTAAGGAAATGTTGAAATACTTCTTTGCTTGTGAGATTAGTTATTACCGATTCATGGTTACCTTTATTTGAAAATGGCACTGCACCTGCCCTAAAATGAGTGCTCTTGTGATGATAGATTTAAAAATATATAAAAATAAAAAAATTGAATCTCACCACCAATCAAAAACTTGTTTTAATGAAATTAACTAATGGGATAGAAGAATTAAAATTATATCAGAGTTGATTGAACCAATGATATGAAAGATGTTCTAACCAATCAGTAGCATTCTACAAGAATTGTTAATATATATTGATGATCCCCCAATTTGACACTTGAACTTTCTTTGGATGGTGAAGATTTGACAACCTAAACAAAAAAAATTTTTTTTATTTATTTTGTGGGCCTTCGGTTGACAAGGAAAATCAAATTTAAAATTAAAGGTGACACCTCGAACAATCATCACTCTTGATAAAATCTAAATTATCCAAATTAAAAATTTTAACATGTACTTTTATTTTAAAAAACTAAATCGTTAGTGAGGAGATTATCTTTATTTCTATTACGTATTTACTAAAATAAATATTTATAAAAATTATGAAAGTTTTTAATATATTTGTTTATCATCAATATAGACAGTCCAAATTTAATCTAAAAAATATAAATTTAATATTAAAAATTTTTATAAATTACCATCTAGATTTATTCTGGACATTCTAAATTTAATATTAAAATTTTTTTGGATAAATAAAATAAAAAATAAAGATAATTTTCTAACTGACATCTCCAGAAAAATGTTTTTTTTAAATACAATTCAAAATTTTTAAATCTACACTGTTCACATTAAATCTATATAATTCAGATCTCATAAAAAGTTATGAATACCGTGATGCAACTAAAGTAAATGGAACTAGTAGCTTGAAAATAAAATACCGGATCGGATAAGTGGTGGCAGGAAAATTGGCGAACTAGTGCCTAGATCAATCCAACATGGGCGGTGAAATTGCAGTCCATCAACATCACTTTCAATGGAACCCTAAAAAGGTTGCAAAGGATTCTACATGTTTGTATTTTATTTTGTTTTTGAGCCAAAAAAAGTTCATTTTATTAATAACCAACACAAAAGTTTCTGTTTCATATTTATTTTGTAAAAGAAAATTCTTTAAGGAGTATTTTAATAGGCACTTAGACACCTAAGGCAAGTGGTAACTCAACTCTTGAGTCATCTTCATGATGCTCATAATTCCTCGTAAGCAAGCTTGCAGGTAAATCTTTTATATATATATATATATATATATGTATATTCTTAAGGCTAGTGCTAAACTAGAGAAGATTACAAGCTATGGGCATAGTTCCACTCTTGTCAATTAAAAGATAGGCTTCACATTTTTTGGGGATTTCAAACAATTGAATCAATTCACAAGCATGGTGATGGCCTTGCTTGGCAAGAAAATTAGCACAAAGTGCAGCTTCATGAGGGGCGTAGAGGATTTTATAATCCTTCTTAGTAATGGCCAAATTTTGTACAGCTCTTATCTCATCATAAAAGGGGTGTGAACTTAGAACTCCTTTATAGACAAAGTTGAGGTCATTGAGTGAATTTGAGAAAATGTGAGCTTTCTCTATATTCATGCTCCTGCAAGTCTCAACTCCAAATTGAATGGCCTTGATCTCAGCTATATTGATGGGGAAATTACCAAGATTATAGGTGAAGCCCCTTATCCATTCACCTTTCGTATTTTTAGCCAGTCCACCACAAGCAGCGTTATTGTTGTTGGTCAGAGAAGCATCAACGTCCATTCTTATGATTCCTTGGAGCGGTGCAGTCCATTGATGCCCATGAGTTTCAGGTGAGGTATAATGTAGCTTGCAGGTAGATCTTTTTATCCTTAAGATGTCATCAATCAGGCAATAAGCAAAATTTTTAGGGATCAATAACTTTATGCCAAGCATATCAAGATCACAAGTTTGCTTACAACTTTTTATTCAAACAATGGACAAACCTTCCTTTCTGAAAAGATTTTAATGAAGTTGGCTTTTGGAATTTAAACATTTCAGGAAGTCAAGAGCTAAAAGATATCTATAGATAATTATTTCTTTAAATGAATCAATCATATACTTTTGGAGACAATTATCACTTGCAAATTTGAAAAACTTCAATTACAGATGGAGTATATTCAAAAGACTTTAATTTTTCATCAAGAACATTTTAATTATCGCTTCAATTTTAGTACTACTATAGAACTTTGTCTGTATAAATTATCTTATATTAACTTTATAACTAAACTTAGTAAAACACCGTAGCTTCTACAGTCTTTGCAAAAAGACATAGGTGCTTTAATGAAATAATATGGTGTAGTTGTTTTTATTATTTAATTTGAAGTGGTTTTTTTCATTCAAAAAAAATTGCTCATGAGCTCTGGACTATTTAGATTATAAATTTTGACAATCCAAGTTTAAATTTTTTATATTTATTAAAATAAAAAATATATTTTTAAAAATAAATTTTCTTATTACTAATTTAAAGAGTCTAGATTCAACTCAGAAAACCTGAATGTAATATTAATTTTTTTTATAATTTTTATAATTTATAATTGACTATTAAGATTTATTTTGAACCATTCAACTTTATTTTTTTAAAAAAATATATTTTTTGAACACTACCAATTAATATATTATTTTTGCTTTAAATATTATATTTATTAAAATAAAAATTTTAATATTAAATCTAGAGAGTACAAATTCAGGTAGCAAGATAGACTTCTTGACTTCACTAATAGTGAACAAACTACCACGAAGAATATTCACCGTGATTTACCGTTAGCCAGGACGAGCAAAAGTCAGAGCAAAGAACGATCTCTCTCTCTCTCTCTTCTTCTTTAATTCTTAAATAATCAAATTTCTGCCTCTTCTTGAAAGGAAGCTTTCAACTTTCAATTTATTATTATTATTTTTTTAAAAGCTGGTGAGTCCATATCTAGTAAAAGAGCAACTGGAGTGCATTGATCACCCACATTGATGCAAATCAAATCTCTTGTTGATTTGAATGGCAGACACACGTACAAATGACAGCGCTCCGTTCTTATCAAATCACTCTTCGGGGATCCTTCATCGTGTCAAATCCATCATCTTTCTGATTACTGACTATCAACAAAATCATTCCCCAAATTATGACGTTATATAATATAAAAAACATTGATGAATCGTGGATTCAATCGGTAATAGAAATCTAATATGTATATATATATATATATATATAAGTTAACTTCAACTAATTTATGAAATCAAAGAAATATATTTTTAAAAAATTAATTTACTCTTATTAAATATATCTTATTTTTTATTCCTTTCATATGCAACTCCCCACCCAACGCATGAAACATTATGAAAAAGTTAAGGGAGAATAACAAAAAAGGACCCTTAAAAAATATCAAGCACTTTTTACAATTGATACATCAAGAATTCAAAACCGAAATTTCAGGATTTACAACTCATGTGTTTACTTTGTATTAAATTCCTTACATGGCCCTCAATTGTCATTCTCCCAAAGATTAAATTAAAAAAATAATTAATAATCCATGTTTTCATACAATACGGCGTATTATATGGAGCTACTCAACTCAACGTCTCAACGTCCCAGATCATGATGGACATGGGAGCGGACGAAAAAAACAAAAACAAGGACGCCCAGCCGCACAAGCATTCAGACAACATGTGACCCACAAGTCTTTTACCAAAATTGAACGAAGCTAAAATAAGAGTGAACATATTCCCTCTTCTAGTGGGCCTAACAAACCCTTCATGCATGAGTCACGAATCATAATGATTATGTACGCCACTAAAGCCGTTTAATTTATACATGTAATATATATATATAAACAACTTAATCTCCAGATTTTTTTGATAATTAAAAACAATTAGTCGATAATAATAGTAACAAGGATTAATGGTGGTGTAATCTACAACAGTGATGGGTCATAGTTAACTGTAATTTTTAATAGTTAAATGCAGTGTGCTTTAATAAAAAAAATAAAATGTTTATAAAATGTTTTCGTATTTTTATTTTTCAATTTCATAAAATTTATTATTGATTTTCCATGTTAAATTTATTAATTTTAAAAAAACAGTTGTCAATGGTGTTGTTGACAAAAGCATCAGTTTTTTAAACTTTTTCCCCATTTTCTTATACAAATGATTAGTAAATTTGACGAGATTAGGTGTTAATTTTTTTTTTCTTTTATAGACACAACACGACATGATATTCATATGTGGGCATGTGTGTGTGTGAAATGATGAAATCAACTCTCATGGAGGAGCTGAGCTCAGAGTCTGAGCAAGAATCAGTTATTGGGTTCTGGTTACACTCCAGTGGTAATAATGATATTAACCACCATGGCCATAGGCCATAGGCGTGTTTCATGCGTGCCCCCTTTTCTTTTTTTTTTCGGAGTGAGTTCGACATCCCATGTTTTAAACTTGATTTTACACCCTTACAATGCGCAAGAATATTATACCAAGACCAAATTAATATTTTAAAATTGATTCCTTGTAAATTATAATTTGTTATCCCATACATATTAAAATAAAAATTTAGAGAATAGCATGTTCTAGTTTAAAATTCTTTTTATGAAAAATATAAAAAAATAACTTGCTTTATGTTATATTTTTTTATCCATGTGCATATTGAGTTATATTCGAAATCAAGCGAATTAAAGATAGCTCTTTCACTTATTTTTATTTGCATTCAAATAATTTTTATTCTTATGCATATTAAAAATATAAACAATAATGTATTTTATTTTAAATTTTATTTCCTTGCATATATTAAAAATACAAGTACAAAATATTTTATGTAGAATTTTTTATCCTATATAAATTAAGATTTGAAGTAACAAAATGTACCTCATCCGTTAAAAAATGTATGACATTTTTTGATGAGTTAGAAGTTAAAAAATATAAGATATTTTTAATTTTTTAAAATGTAATCATTATTTTTTTTTCAAAAGTACCCCTGTTGATGAATAACTTTATATTTATTATAAGATATTTAATAAGGATAAATATAGAAAGATAGAGTTAGTTTTAAAGTAGATAATTAGTTTATTAAGGGTAAAATTTAATTAAAAATACTTTATATTTTTTAACGAAGAAGTACTCATTAAGTTGTGTAACACACCAAAATTTTTTTTTTTAAATAATTTAACTCAACCATAGTTGGGTTACAGCCACCCAACACATTTTTATATCAATAATTTCGATATAAATATTTTATAATTGGCTTCAACTCACACACTATAACATTTCAGATAAATTTTTTACCTCCCACATGCCATTAGGCTAAATCACATTTGTCCATCCTTATATTCCCAACAAGTAAAATAAGCAATTTAGTCAATTTTCAACACAAGCCAGTTATTTGGCCTTATAATCATGCCATTTTAACCAATCCAAGTAAACCAAATATTAAAATTACAGTCATCCAAATTGTACCAAAAATAGAAATAGTTTGAAAGGTATGATTACATTTATATATTCATATAATTGATAATAAACAAAAAGCCCTAATATTGGCAATATAACACATTATAAATCATAAATTAAATACTCAAAAGAGACAGTGGATCTATACCACTAAGCCTCTGGGACTCTTCCACGTGTCACTTGTGGCTCTTCTCCTGAAAATTGTTAACCACATAATGAGACTCAAAAGTCCCAGTAACAAAAGCCAATTTATGATAGTGTATACAAACAGTTAAGTGTGTGCTTATTAAGTGAGAATTAAAAATAATATAATTCCACAAATATAAGAATATTACAATATACACAAACAACCATCCTTATATCCCTCCATTAACCTCGAGCCGTAGCCCTCACTCGGTGCTAAATTACCCGGCCAAAGGTAGATTAGCCCGAGCCCTTACAAGCCACCTATTGAGCTCCAATAGGGGCGTACCACGTGGCACATAAATACAACAATAATAGCAAGTCTCCCAACACCTCCCACAATAATCAAACAAATTCATAATATTGCACAATTATACAATATTACAAAATTCATAATTTTCTCAATAATCACCCAATTAACATGAAGTAACACTAATCATAAATTAAAAGCATGGTTACCTTGTGGCTTTTTCAATAAATTATTCCTTAAAATTTCTCTCTCACCACAATCTTCACCAGTAATACAATCTACAAATAACATATTATTTATAAATTAGTTTCAATTTTTGAAACTAATAAAATAATTCTAATAATAGAATTAAAATATAACATAATTCCTAATCTCAATCTTAATACAAATCTATAGTTAATACTATTAAGTAAAATTTTAACTCCTCTTTTAATTATCAATAAACATTAATAATCTAAAAATCAATTTTAAACTAATTTCTATTATCAAAATTTTCTTTTTATTTATAAAATTCGTACCTAAAATACCCAAAAATTAAAAATTAAGTCTCTAGCTTAGAATCATAATCCTATAACCATAATATTCATTTCTCATCCCAAATAATCATCTAAACCTCAATAAATCAACATATATTTTCAGATCTAGTTTAGAATTTGATCCATAAGCCACAGATTCAAAGATCATCAATAAATTATACTCTAGAACATTTATTATACTACTGACAACCTCAAAATCATATTTATTCAACATAAATTCATCCCTCTTCCATATCTTAAATTTTCTACCATTACAAACTCAGAAACTAAAGAAGAAGGATGACTAAGAAAAATTTTTAGAACACTTACTTAGTCTTAAAAAGCTTAAAATCACACCCTAAATATCCTAT